TCCTCCGCTATGTATTTCTCTTATAAGGTGCTGTAGCCACGATGACTGGGGTATGTAGAGTAAATTCTGTTTAAAGAGGAAGTCGTGCCGGACGGAGTAGTCTTCAACCTGTTGGCCCTCACTGCATTGTTCCCAGATTGTTCCAAAATCCACATCACCGTCATAGAGCTCTTTCAAATGTTCAAGACCCACATTTTCCGATTGTAAACTGGTAAGAAGTGCCGCTTTTCGGCTGAGACCGTCCGCCACCCTATTTTCATTGTCTGGCTTATGTTTGAGAGTGAACGTGAATCTTTGTAGAAAGAGTAGCCAACGGGCATGCATCCGGTTGACTGTCTTTTGGGTATTTATGTGCTGCAGTGCTTTGTTATCACTACATAGAATAAATTCTTAATGTAGTAGGTAAGATTCCCAGTGTTTTAATGCACGAACCATCGCATATAATTCTTATTCATAAGCTGTCCATTTTTGTCTAGCGGGACACAACTTCTCACTAAAGAATGCTAGTGGTTTGCTCAACTGCGATAGCACTGCTCCAATGCCAATGGCGGATGCGTCGGTGTCTACCGTGAGCAACTGATCAAAACTTGGAAGCACTAAAACAGGTGCGGACGTGAGAGCATCTTTGATCTTTTGAAAACTTTGTTCCTGGTTGTAATCCGACCGAAAGGATTTGAGCTTCAGGACATCTGTGATGGGAGCAATCATAAGTCTGAAATTCTTGATAAATCGCATGTACAAATTAGCGATCCCGTGAAAGCTACGGACCTCAAAGAATGTTGAGGGTGTTGGCCAATTTTGTATAGCTTCAACTTTAGCGGGATCCACATGAATACCATCTGCCGAGACGATGAAGCCCAGAAACCGGATGTGGGAGGTTGCGAATTCGCACTTAGGAAGGTTAACAAACAGTTTGTGCTCCCTTAACAGCTCAAAAAGAGATTTCACGTGTTGAATGTGTTGCTGCCGGTTATCACTATACACTAAGATGTCGTCAAAATATACAATACAAAATTTATCCAGAAAAGGTTTCAAAACCTCGTTCATCACCCGCATAAAAGTTGAAGGCGCATTACACAGGCCAAACGGCATAACCTTCCATTCATACAGTCCTTGGGTGTTTTAAATGCTGTCTTCCATTCGTCTCCTGGTCGGACACGAATCTGGTGGTAGCCGCTCCTTAAGTCTACCTTGGAGTAAAATGTTGATCCCGTAAGCTTATCGAGCAGCTCCACTATTCACGGCATCGGAAATCTGTATTTGAATGTGATCTTGTTGATGGCTCGGCTGTCGATACACATTCGCCAGTTGCTGTCTTTTTTCGGTACTAGCAGTGCCAGAACTGCACATGGACTCAAACTCGTTTGTATGAGCTATTTTTGTACTAAATCATCAACGATCCCGGCCAAGATCTGTTGTTCTTTCGGGTTGAGCCTGTAATGCGGTAAGTTGGGAAAAATGGCATTGGGGTGAAAGTCGATTTGATGTTGGATGTTCCGGAGCGGTGGAAGTTCGGCAGGTAATTCGTCTGGACAAACATCCATAAACTGTTTGAGGAGATTGCAAATATCCTCTGCTGGAGCTGCTCCTGACAGTTTCATAGCTGTCGTTGTCTCCACAACTGACAAGGAAAACATAGGCGAGGGCTCTCGCCAGCTTTGCAGCAGCATAGGTCTTGACACCAAATGTGCGGCGGCTTGTTTGGAGGTTCCTTTACTTGGCGCTGAATTCTCAGTTGTTCTAGGAAATAGCATTAACTTTATGCCCTGCCAATCGAGCGAGTATACATTTGCTCGGCCTTCATAATGTGCATCCACATCAAACTGTCATGGTCTCCCTAAAATCAGATGGCAAACATCCATATCGAGGACATCACATAAAACGTCGCAAACATATTGTTTCCCAATTGAAAATGATACCGGCAAGATTCAGTAACCAAAATTTATATGCCCTTTTTCACCCAACTAATTTTATAGGGCTGTGAATTTTTAACTGTTTTAAGCTGTAGGCCTTGAACCAGGGATCTTGAAACTATGTTCTCTGTGAAGCCGCTATCAATTAGGAGATCGCACACCTTTCCCGCTATGGTGCATCTTGTTTTGAAAATAGTATGACGTTGGGAATTGTTGGCCTGTCTCGGTACCAATAGTAATTTTTCTAAAATTCCAAGGAACGGCTCTCCCTCATCTGCCTGAACCTCTTCAATAACCTCTTCCGGTTCTAATTCAGCATGTTCGGGGTCCTCGCCTTCATCAGCTTCCACAAATTGGACCTGCTGCCTCTGCGAACACTCATTTGACTTGTGTCCGGGCTGGAAACAGTGGAAACACTTTAACGTCGTGGGATTTGCATACGGGTTGGCGTGAGGGGCTGTCTTCGGCTTGAGCAATGATTTTCCTTCACCTCCTGTGCTGGAAGATGCAGATACTGGTGTTGTCGGTGTAGTTCTCGTCATCGATTGAGAACTTCCCTTTGTATTTGTTGTATGTGACTCGTGCCAATGTCGTCTGTTGTAGGGGGTTTTTGATTTGCTTTTTTGTTGCACTTACACCTTCATGGCCAAATTTACCGCCTGCGGCATCAACCATACCGCATTCAGTTCTAGCTTATCTTGGATGCTCTCCTTGAGGCCCCCGATATACCGAGCGACCAATTGTGTGGTCGATTCATGAAGGTCATTTCTCGCGCTCAATCGATTGAACTCCTCGGTATATTCACTAACGGTGCGAAGTCCTTGCGCACAATGTTGGTATCTCATATATAAGATCTGCTCAAAATCGGTAGGCAGGAATTGAGCTCGTAGGAGCTGTTTCATCTTTTTCCAAGTGCTGATGGAGCCCCGTCTTTCCCTCCGTCGGGTTTGTAGTGTCTGTTCCCACCACGCACTGGCACCTCCCTTCAATCTACAAGCTACGTATTTCACCTGTTTCTCGGGAATAATGTCCATGTAATCAAAAAAATTCTCGATAGCCTTCTCCCAATCCAGATAGTCCTCAATGTGCAAGTGTCCGTAAAAAAATGGAATGTCGAGCTTCACCTTGAACTCGCCCACCGAATGTTCAAAACGAGGGAGCCTTCTGTTTCGGTGCCAATCTATAGCGCACCTATGATCCGTCTCCCCTTCACTGGAATCCCTAGGATCATAGTTCCGCTGGCGTGGGGGGAGTTTCGTCCTCCGACTCGTCAGGGTCGGGTGTGTTGATTTGTAAGTATCTCCTCTGTCGTCCCTCTTCATTCTCTCTTTTGGGAGCTCGCCTATGTGCATGCGTCTCTTCCCGATCACGGGTTGGTGAACGCTCTCTCGCCCTGGTGGGATTGAACCCCCGGTGAACTTCAACGGCCAAACGTTGAATCTCCGCCGCCAACTCGTCAATTCTCTGATTGACTCTTTCTTTATTTGTCCACAACGCATCAATGGTGCGGACTTCCTCCCGTACTGGTTCCTTGCCTCTATCCGTCATTCTCCTTCCAGCGAATGGCTCTGATACCAACTGATACCTAGTACAGGACCGGCGGCACCTGGATAATAAGCAAACGAATACAACAATAGAAGAAAATAACGGGAATGGAGAAATACCTCTATATTCTCTGTATTCTATTGAGTAAAGAACTATTGTGTAAAAGATAACAAAGCCTCTCTCCTTCTTCTCCTTTCACCTATATGTAATTCTTCTATTTTCCTCTTTTAGCTAATAAGTAAAAAGGTACTAAAAGTAACAACGTATCAAAACAGAAAATGAGGTAGTGGGAATATAAGTTTGTTAGCCGTTTGTAAGATGGTCCTTTGTTATTGAATGCTTAACCTATAACCGGTACTGCATCAAATTGCAAGATTTTTTAGCCGTGGTTGTAATAAAAGTATAAATTTACCTCTCAATTGAGAATAAACTGACCCCACCAGGCTTAGCTGAGTAGGTGGGCGAGAGCCCCTAGCCAATGTTTTACTCCTCTCATACGGCGTGACATCTTAAATGAGGAGAAATAATTGTGTGGCACTAGACCTATGGGGTTGGTTGCTGGTAGGTCCACCGAGGAATTAGTTACGCCGTCATGCACTTTCTTTGAATGTTGCAGCAAGTAGATACCCCGTTCCAAAAAAAAACTGTACAATAAAGCAGTAGAAAGGGAGTTGAAGTCCAAATGGAGTAACGATTAAGTTATCTCCAATTAAGTCATATGCTTAATTTTCAGAATTAAAAATATTAATTAGAGTATGATCTTTAATCTTTTTTAATTAAATAGAACTGAATTCTTATTTAAACTTATATAGATATCATAAATTTCAAAATAGTCCCGATAATTTGTATATAACTATTTTAGTCTAAAGAGTATAAGATTATTTTGATTTAGTCCCCCAACTATAAAAATTTGATTCTTTTAAACTAACTTGGAATGAATTTTATAAAGTTGGTAGACTAAAGCTTCGTGTGATACGGCTTTTTTATTATTTCTTAAAACAGTTTCTAGTAAGAAATTATTCTGTGTGGAGTCCAAACGGAAAAAACCGTCTGAATTTGCTAAATATTTACTAAATATTTACTATACTAAGTAAATACTCAACAAATACTCAGTTCTACTGACTATTTTGTGAGTATTTGCTGAATATTTAGTATGTATTCGCTGAGTATTTTATGAGTATTTGCTGATTTACTGCGTATTTACTGAGTACTCAGTAAATACGCAACGATCCAGACGGTTCTTCCCGTTCCGACTCTGCACAGAATAATTTCTCCCTTGTAAAAGCAATTAAGCGGCTTTCAGTCTTAGATGAGCAAACCTCAGCTAAAATCCTAATCCAAAGTCTTTTAAATCAAAGAAATCTAATGCACTTGGCAACTCGAGAGAATAAGCACCAACAGATCTATTCCTTCAGCATCAATACAAAGCGTTGGGAAGAGCCTTTTAATCCAAGTGACGAACAACAGTTCAACTCAGACATGTTCCAGAAGTAGAATATGTGATTCATTCCCAGTAAATTAACAGAATACAACAATCATGGCATATCTTAAAGCCATTTAGACTCTCATGCTCCACTCTTAATTACATCTTAATAAAAAACCTAGGCAAATCAAAATAGAAGACAGAGATCTAAGAAAAGAAATGGAAGAAAAGTTACAGATAAAAGAGCGAAAATACAAGCAGGAACATACCATTCCTCTGGCATTTGTCATCAAAGCACGTTATCAGAAAGCAATTCCAAAGAAGGAACTTCTGTTCTGCAATATGGGCAATGGGAATGATCTGCAAGCCAGCGGAGGACGCAACTAAAGTGATATCTGTGAATATATTCGAACGACTAAAATGTTTGTATTAAATTGACCTTAAACGAATAGTTTGAGAACTAATTTGAGTTTTTTCTATCATCATCATCATCATCATCATCATTATTATTATTATTTCTAATTGATCTACGCACAATCATCAATAATTAGCCTTAAGCACTTTTTTTAATTAATAGAATGTTTAAGATAAACCTCTAAAATAAAGCAAAGTAACGTGTACGGCTACCCTCCTTGTATTCCATATTAGTGATAGTATTCTTTGTTACAAAAGAAGGCGACCCAATTAAGATTAGAAGACCACCAAAACCTAAAAGCCTAAGCATAAATTTTACTAAAATTGTCTTTAAAATGATTAGATTTCCTTTAAAATTAACATTATACATGAAGATTTTTATCACACTAATAATAAAATACAAAAAATTTCAAGCATATCCTGATGCAATTTATAATCCTTCTTTTAAGAAATTATTTTGTGCAGTGTCCAGCTGGGAAAAATCCCACCATATGAATTTGCTGCATATTTACTGAATAATTACTCCGTATTTATAAATACTAAATAAATACTCAACAAATATTCAGTTGTGAGTATTATTGTGTATTTTGTGAGTATTTGAAGAATATTTTGTGAGTATTCGTTGAATATTTTGTGAGTATTTGCTGATTTACCAACAATCCAGACGGTTCTTCCCGTTCGAACTCTGCACAATAATTTCTCCCTTGTAAAAGCAATTAAGTGGCTTGCAATCTTAGATGAACAAATCTCAGCTAAATTCCTAATCAATGAAATCTAATGCACTTGGCAACTCGAGAGAATAAGCACCAACAGATCTATTCCTTCAGCATCAATACAAAGCGTTTGGAAGAGCTTTTTAATCCAAGTGACGAACAACAGTTCAACTCAGACATGTTCCAGAAGTAGAACATGTGATTCATTCCCAGTAAATTAAGAGAATACAACAATCATGGCATTTTACATCTTAAAGCCATTTAAACTCTCATGCTCCACACTTAATTACATCTTCATAAAAAGCCTAGGCAAACTAAAATAGAAGACAGAGATCTAAACACAGAAATGGAAGAAAAGATACAGAGAAAAGAGCGAAAATACAAGCAGAAGCATACCATTCCTCTGGCATTTGTCATCAAAGCGCGTTGTCAGAAAGCAATTCCAAACTAGGAACTTCTGTTCTGCAATATGGGCAATGAGAATGATCTGCAAGCCAGGGGAGGACGCAGCTGGAGTGATATCTGTGAGCACAGGGCAACCAGATGACCTGCTGCTGTACTCTAAAGCCATCCAGACACACAGCACAGATGTCGACCCTCGACGGTTTTCTTGAGAGCTCACCACCTTGCTTTGCTGTGCCTCTGTTCTCATGAACTTGCCTTGAGTTGTCTTGCACACTTGTTGTTGAGCTCCTCATCCATCTATGGAGAACATGGAAACAGAGGTTTTCAGCTAGTAAATACAGCCATAATAAGCTAGAAGAAGAGGTGATTCTTTTGTTAAGATAATATTTTCCAATGATTTACCAAGCAAATTAATGAGCCCATTCTTCTGCTATGTTGAAGAAGGGAGATGAAGAGTCTGTTTTGGCCAGCTTTCTTGTTACTTTGCTCTTTTTTTTTTTTAATCAACCACAATTCCGTTTGGCTATTGCTTTCTTACTCTTTTCAAAATTTTATGTAGTGAAAAAACTACTTCCTCTATAGCAATTTCACAATTAACTTTATAAAATGGTATAGTCATCCCAAACTGACTCAAAATTATAGTTCTAAGAAATTATACACCCTTTGTTCCTTTGAAGTTGAAATAAATATTTGACATATTCAACAGGGGGTGGTGTTTTTACGCAGTTGTGATGGACTATAAATTAATTAATTGATGCCAGATAGCGTTTTTGATAAATATTGCACTGCCAGGTATGCAAAGCAGGGGTAATACTCATACAGTTTGTTTTTTATATCTAAGAAACTAAAACTTGAGAAGTAAACATACGGTCGAAGGGATAAAATTCTAAGGGTGATATCCTTATTGCCTTCAAAGTAACTTATTTATCTTTCTTTTCATCAAAATGTACACATTTGTAGGACAAAAATTAAAACTTGTTTTTGATGAAAAAAAAATCAAAATAACAAGTAAATTTTCTCATACTACGATTTGTGCATTGGTAGAAACAAATCTTTACCAAATGTAAGAACTTGTCAACTAGCGTAATCAGAGGCTGTGGTTGGCCCTTGCCCACCAAGAATTGGGATTGAGCCTTATAGCGGTTATCTATGTACATATTAAGCCACAATGTGAGAAAATATTCCCTCCAAAATTTAAAAAAAAAATTAAAAGAGCTACATTTAAAATAATACACTCTACAAAAACTGCAACTTTTTTACAGTTTAATGAAAAAGAAAGTATTTTTCATATAAAACTATAATGAAAGGAAAGTCAAATCACATCTACCAAATCGATTAATATCTATTTACATATGATTAAACTATATTGAGAAAAAATTGCTCCAAATTTTCAAAAGATATTTATAAATGGGGATCTTTTATAGAGCGGATCAAATGTCTTGGAACCAATCTTGAGCAAAGGCTGGATCTACTCAAGAACGAATCGTTAACACCCCCACATGAAAACATCCTTAAAACTCAATGCAAAAAAAAACTATTAATATTAATTAAATTATTATATATTATATAACACCTAACCTCTATTTCTTATAATCCAATATACTGCGTGGTGTTACTTTCTTATATATCAAATATAAATTTCTGCCATAAACCATCTTGAAGCTATGTATGGTCAGGAAGCTTCAACCCCATAAATTTGGAATAAACGCTTTCGCCCATCTCCCTTTCAATCCTAGTTACAACACCATGTGTCTGTAGAAAGACATGAACAGAGATCAAGGTATACAGCAGAGAAGAAGGTAAGATAAGCACTGAAGCAAAACCAAATAACTACAGGAAACTTTTTCTTTAAGCTCTCTTCCTTGCCCTCATTACAGAATACAGTACACATTATATAAAGTCTAAGCATCACATGGCTAAGAGCCACCTAGTATGAGGCAGAGAAAAGTTGCACAGAAGGTGGAACCTGCGGCAGAACAACAGGGGAGGAAAGTGGAAACTGCAACTGCACCAGACTAAGCTTAGTCTGGTCTAACAGTGTCCCCATATCAACTTGTTCTTAAAACTGAGAATATATCTCATTTTTTACAGATAGTTGTTCATACACATACAAGAATTATGAACCAAATGCTATAAGGAATTCTCATAAGAATCAAGTCAATCTTAGAGGGTGTTTGGTATCGGATTAGTCCGTCGTTTATAGTAGGATTTAGCGTAACGGCATAAATCTGGTAAATCCGTCTAAATCCTAATCTCATTCCTATTCGGATTTAATGAGTTGCGAAACTTCTTACCGCGGCGCCCGTGTAATCTGTTGCCAAAAAACTTTTCTAGATTTACATGATTTAAAATTTGTCATACCAAACACTTTTCAGGATTTATGAGTCTAGGATTTACTAAATCTGGATTTACAGGATTTAGTAAATCCTACTAAAATTGAATCCAATCATATACCAAACACCCCCTTAGAGTAGCTAGACAGAAATAGATTTCACAAATCTACCTGCAATCGTACCAGAATTAAGTTTAGAGACAAGTTTGTTACCCCTATCTTAACTAAAGCCATATGCATCTATCTATCCTTGCAAAAATCAGTTCAAGAATGAGATTAGGTATTTACCACCTTGCTGCCATCCCAAACACAAGGGTTAAAGCAAGAAGACAGATTTCAGCACCATTGCAAACTCCACAATGATGTTCACAAAGTTATAACCTCATCTAAACTTAATTTATGTTCTAATTACAATTCTCACAATCCAACTTCATTTCAAGGTGGGAAAATCACATCCCAAATACAAATCAGAATTCCAAATATCCAAATATAATAGATTTATTAATTTCCTACTTACCTCAAGTTCTTGTTTTCCCCAATTTACCATAATTCACGTGTGCCTTTGAGAGTCTACCAGGCCAAGCTTACATCAAACACCACAAATTCAAATAAACCAGCACTCAAATTACAATCAGGCAACTTATTCATAAAGCAAATTCACAAAAAACCATCAATATCTTCCGCCAGTAATTATTATCAACATCATTACATCCATGTCTTTTTACCTTCGCTATCAATATCAATCCTATTTTTAACTGTTTGATTGATAAATAATCAAACTGCTCCTGCAATAATCGAAAAATCTTATCCGAATATAATGTTCATTAATTGAAGACCACAACAACACATGAAAAGCACGATTAATCTCTGATTTAAACTAAACAAAATAAACAAATCCAGTAGAAAACTGGGCGGGATTTACCTTGGGAAGGGGGAGCTTATTGAAGGTGAAGAGGATGGAGAACGAGATACAGCGAAAGGACGTCGAAGCTTCTCCTCTAGTCGGCGTCGGGCAGCAGCGGCGGCGGGCTGGTCGATGGGCTGCGGCTGAGCGGCGGACGAGGGTTCCGACGGGCCTCGCAGATACGAGTCATTCCGGTGGTGGAGGCGGCGCCGGCGAGCAAGCTCAACACCTGGGAGCATCATACCTCCGCTTCCGTTGCCGGTGTCCCGCTAACCCGCGCCGCTTCGACCTCGCCTCTCCGTGGGCGGAGCTGATGGTAAGACGAGTAGAAAGATAAGCTCTTGTGCTCCTGCAGCGGGACGGGACCGTTTATAGTGACGCTAAGCAATACTAAGTAACTGCCCTTGGAGTCTTCGTAAATTACGGAATTGCCAAGAGGGCAGATGAAATCCTGTAATGATCGTCTCGTTCGGATTGGCAGATGGGCGACGTTTTTATTTAAACATTCATTTAATTATTAATTATAATCATTATTTTCTTGATTTTTATTTTATAAAATTTATCATAAAAAAATAACACTATATTATTTTTCTTAAACATTAAATTAATAAAATTCATAAACTATATCAAATACATATATCTATATGAAAAGGATCCTTATATGAAAATACCACAATTATAACTTTGGCAAGTTAAAATTTTCCTTCAACAAAATACCACCCGTCAAGTGATTCCACAATGTTGACTCATTATAGTTTACTATAAAGGTTTTGTGAGCCATTTTTTCTCAAATTTCATTTATGTTGAAGAACTCGCATAAAATAATTATTAGATCATAATTTACAACAAAAAGTATTTAAGTGCTTAATTAGTTATTTTTTCAAGTTTTTTATTAGTATTAATCTCTATTACAGATAACCTCATCAATAATGGAAGCATCTGAATTTAAAATATGAAAGACTAAAGTAATTTTAGAATAAATTCGATAGATATAAAATTATCCTAATATTATTATTTTTATCTTTACATAAATTTTTAAACTATTATCATCATATATTATAAGGTTGTAATAAATGATATGACTAGACACTAGTTGTCAGTAAATGATATGACTGGTTGTCAGTAAATAATATAACCCATCAATTTGACTCGGATCCGGCATGATAAGTTTGAATTCAAATTGACTTTTTTGATAAATGGATCATGTTCGAATCTGTAATTCACTCAGGTTTGGGATAACTTACAACCTAATTTTAGTTCAAAAGTGACTTGCTTAATATGTTTTCTTAATTTTTTTATTTGTAGCATGAACTTTTTATTTTTGATCAATTAATATAAACTCTATAGTTGATAAGTTATAAAATTTTTTTAATTAAATCGAGTTATTAGTCCTTGTTTGGATCATTCGGGATCGCCAGTGAGTCAAAGAGTATGTCTTTTTTACTCATTTATTAAAATTATGTTCAGGTTGATTGGATTCAGATTAAATCAATTTCAAATCAAATCCGAACCAAAATTCATAACACATTTTAACATCAATAACATTCCCTACAATTCAAGGTAACAAAATAAGCTTTTATTCATGATTTTAATATTTTTTATATTTCCTTTTTTTTAATATTAAATTTTAAAAACGAAAGGCACGCAAGTACGCAACGCTTATTTGGCAGATACCACAAATGTAATTTCTTCATAGCCAGCACGATAAGCCCAATCCAACGGCTCAAATGGCATACCCGTAAATATGTGCTCCAGAAAGGACAATTATGTAGTAGTGTCACCAGAAGGAAGCTTCTTGGCAACCCGCAAGTGCAAAGCCCACCTTCCTCTCACAGGCCCCGCGCAAATTTATTTCGCTGTTGCCACTGGCCAATCAGTGGATGACACATGGCGCGCACATCCTGGTGCATGATTAGTGGGACCCAGTTGAGTTGAAAGCCCTGCAATCGTCGTGGTCCAACTTGCCGGCCTGCACTCGCAAATATGAAGAGTACAATTATGCTAACCTATGTCAAAGAGTACAATTATGCTCAATAATTAAATCAATTTATCATTAGCTTGATCATGATTAGATTAAGGCTTTATTTGGTATTACTTTCTTATTATTTTTTTAAGCATATTTTTAATTAAAAAATTAATTTTTATATTAAAATTTTATTTTAAGAAGCAGTAAGAAAGTCATACCAAACGAAGCCTAAAGCTTGGTTTGGACAACTTTCTTACTGCTTTTTAGGACAGTTTTATAGTACAAAAAATTTTACACTAAAAAATTATTTTAGAAAGGAACAAAAAAAGTTTCCAAAACAAACCCTAAGATTTCATTTGACATAAATTTCTTATTGTTTTGTAAAACTGCTATAGAGAAAATAATTTTTTAAAGTTATTCTATAAAACAACTTTTTAGTATAATTTTTTTAAAGCTACGAAGAAGCATTGGCTATACAAAAATTATGGTTGAGATATGAAAAATAAAGTTGTTAGAAAGTTATCACAATCGAAGCCTAAGAATATTAAAATTTAAATTCAAATAATTTATCCTGATTAGATTTGCATGAGTTTGACATAGGTTAACAAAATTTAAATTCAAATTAAAATAAATATTTTTTCTAATTTACTTCGATTAAAAGCTCATTTTGGTGTTAGGATTTTCTTTGTTGATGAAAGAAATTTTTCTTAATAGTGCAAATGAATTCAATTTTTCGCATAAATTTTAATCCCTAAATCTTGAACAAGATGATTTTTGATAAAATTTTAATTAGAAGAAAACATATACTGATTCAAATTTGATACATCATAAAAAAATTATCTTGATCATGCACGAATCTTGAAGCAAAATAAATTTGGAAACTTTAAGAATTAAAATTGAGACCATTCGAACTATGATTTCTACAAACTTATAGTTGAACTGAGCGTCTTGGAAACACGAACCCAACGACACCAAATTAAACCCAATCCGTGTCCAAATGGGTCAAAATCAAAGACCCGAAGCACTTTTGGAAGGATCAAATCACAATTTCTATCACCAAACGATCTTCAATCCTGACAAGATTATAATTGAATCTAGCGGCTCGATAAGACGAATCCAATGAGCCCAAGATCTTCAAATTCTGATATCATTAAGATAGTCAAAGATCTATTGAACGGTGCATGATCGTAAGAATTAAGATCAGCCGTCCATTCGAACCACTCCCAATTTACCCTTGATCTTCCACTTATTTACAAGTCATGCCACTCAAGAATTCTCTAAATAGAGCCACATTTCCTCTTGAAAAAGGGGGAAGAGCCAAGAGAGAAGGAGGAAGAGAAGGAAGAAAGCTCCACCTGTCTTGCTCCTCCTAGACCACCGTCGAAGTTCTATCGCACCATCGCCGGAGTTGTGCCGCACCACCACCAGGTTCTGTCGAACCACCACAAGTTATTGATTTTAAAATTAAAATATAAATTTAATACTTTTACTGATTAATTAGAGGCAATAATTAATAAGTAGGCTCTTAATATGAAATAGAAATACCACAAAAACTTTAATAAAATTTTAAAATAACTTACTATCATTAATAATATTAAGTTAACATCCCTAAAAATATTCATTTCTTAAAAGATTCATGTTATAATTTTTGAAAATATTTAATCATTTTAATTTATTAAAAAATGTTTATGTCAATTATTAAAAATATAAATACTTATATAATGCATGAAACAATTTTGGAGTATAAATTTATTAGGGATAAAACTAAAATTACAAGGTATGCATGAACTTAATAATAATAAAAAAAAACTTTCATGAAATAAAACTTTGAAAAATCATACTATGTATGGAAATAATCAAAGTAAGAGATTTAGGTTTTGTTTGGGACGGCTTTCTTACTGCTTCTTAAAGTAATTTTTGGCATAATTTTTTTAAAATTAAACTTTTTTTAGTAGAAAGCTACTTAAAAAAATAATAAGAAAGTCATCCCAAATGAAGCCTTGAGCTTCATTTGTGAATGCTTTCTTACTAATTTGTACAGCTATATTTTAGTAGAAATTTTTTAAAAGCGAGAAAAAATAATGGTCTAAATTTGCCCCAAATAAAACATTAGTGAACGGATCATCAATAACAATCATAATAAAGATGATCAAGGAGTTTGAAATTTTTGAAAAACTCTAACAAATTTTAATGAATTTTAATTGAGTTTAAATATTTTTTTATTAAAGCCTAGTAAAGTTGAGAGTAAAGCCTCCCAACGGTTCTTCAGTGTTCAATGGCCTTCTCGCTATCAACGGCCAATATATAGACAATAGAACGACGTAGAAAGATCAGACGGCTGGAAACAAACCAGAAATTCATTCAAAAAATCTTACTTTTTATAACCTTGTTCGCGAAGCAAGGCAGCAGGTTCTGGAAGCAGCATTTCGTTATGTACTTGCACCCCTCGATGTCGCCTTCTTTAGCTCAGCGGCCTTCAGAACCCTAGAGATCGATCCATAACTTTCTTCTTTTCGTTTATTGAAAGGGGCAATGGGGGATAATTGCTGTTCGACTCAGTTAATCGATGGCGCAGGGGTGTTGAATGTAGAGGGATTGGAGCATTTCGTGAAGACTGTGAGGCTCGTCGAGTGCGGTCTTTCCTATGTGGTCGTATCCATCATGGGTCCCCAGAGCAGCGGTGAGTTGACTAGAACATGCTATCCACCGTCGGTGTTAGGAATTCAATTTGCTAAACTTTGCATCTTTCAAAATATATATTTTTAGAACAGATTTTATGACTGAGGATGTGATGCTTGGTTTATTTTGAATATGTGGCGATTGATGAGGCAGAACTATTATTTTTGAAAATTGATAACGGGATACACTGGTTGTAGTATTCTTGCAATGTATGTTGATTGTCTGAGTATCTTTTTTGAAGCATTTAGAATATGGATACTTATTATTTCTTTTACTAAGTAATTTGTTGAGATAAACATCAAGGTTAAAATATGTTATTTTTTGCAGAGAGATAGAGGGTTTAATGTCCTAATTTTCTACGAAGATCTAACACACATATAGATAAAAAGAGGAGTACAATAATCATAAGAAACACCAAATTTTTAGAAAACCCAAGAAGGATTAAATGATTCCTCTAGTATTTGTATTTGATTATAAATGAATCCATTCTTTAAGGGAAGGCATTGTTGCATGATAAATAACATATTACTTGGTTGAAGTTGAAAGAACAATTTGATAGGAATCCAACATAAATCAAAGTGCTAAAGTTGGGAGTTAATGTTGATTTGGACGATATGTGATGGCGTGTGTTGGCATTGTTAGTGATGATAGATGATAAAAATAATAGTCATGAAGTAGCTATGTGATAATGATCAGAAGATTATAGGCTGGTGGATCGTAGTAAGGCGACGAAGGTCAGATGTGTGATACCCCAATACCTAAATTTAAAAGAATTGTCCATTTTTTCTCTTAATTACTCTACCAGAATCACTAATATCATTTATTTAATAAAAAAACTAGTGGAAACAATTTACACATCAAAATGTTTCCTCTATATTCATTAATCCTCAAAATTCATTTACAATAGTCAGAAGTTAATTAATACATCATTCTATCTCCATATACTTATATGACAACAACATCAAGCCTTTATCCCACTATGTGGGTCAGCTACATGAATCTTTTTTCTCCATTGTGTCATGTTAAGAGTTAATTTCTCATTTAAATCTAATAGAGAAAGGTCATTTCTAATATTTTCTAACCAAGTCTTTTTAGGTCTACCTCTATCTTTCTTAACATAAGTCAAACTCTTCCTAAAAATATATAAAAATCATAGAGTGAGTTAACACCTCAATAGGTTATCAAAACCTACACCTACAATCAATACAAGATAATAGAAATAATATTCATGTAATCATTTCATTCATATTAATTTAAACATGTAGCAATAAGAACATGTAGTAGTCAATATGGACAATGTTATTTCATATGAGCAATAGAAAACAATGTAAACAATGTGATTTATGATCAATAATTAGTAGCCATATAAAGGATCAATGTGTTCAGTTTAGTACAATATAGTAGGCTTGTAACGATTATATATATATGTCTATAAATTATACTCTACTTCAATCATATCCCTTTTTTTATATGTTGTCTCATGTATATCAATCTACCTTTCATATCAAATCAATGTATTTCTGTTCTATGCATGTCATATAATATCAAATATTAATGCATGCATATTATGTTATTTATTATATACAATGTATCATGTATTTTATATATCATATACTTTGTATCAATCTTATCAGTTATATTAGTCTTATTATATGCTTGTATCAATCATATTAGTTTTATCATATGCTTGTATCAGTCATATCATATATCATCTTATATCATGTTATATCATGTCATTTATATAATTTATAATGTATGCTCATGTCATATACATATGTAAGCAAGATAGGACATTTAGTTAGCTGTGTTATTTTTCCTATATCAAGTATTGTAGGCCAACCCTACAGGATCAATCTCAATCATATTAGTCATATTATCAGAAATCAATCTCGTATTATATATCACAAGTCAGGTGTCTTTCATGTAAGAAATTGTTACTTCCTATCTGACATTCTACTATATGCACCATCCTAAGACATCCCTTCTTTCTATAGGAGGTGATCTCCTATAGAGTAGATTCTCTATGGGATTGTTAGGAAAAAAAGGAAAATCACACGAGGTTTCTTCATAAGGATTTTTAAGTTAGTTCACATGGAATCTTAGGTCTTCCATTTGGCCAGAAACATATTATAGTAGCATCTGGTTTTGTGAATGGTTTGCTTGATGCAGGATTAAATATGAAATGCAGTTAATTCATATGAAATTTGCACAACTCTTGATTGAAATAATCATAGAACAAGACTAGTAGCAGTTCAAAACAACGAATCAAAACAAATAAGGGGTCAAACCCGCTTAGGCTAAATTACATATCTAGAGAGTGGGAAAAGCTTTCAAAACAATTAGTAAATCACTTAATGCCGTAGTAGTAGTTTCAAAACAATCCCTAATCTAACAATGAAAATTAGTAAGCATAAAGGCATGCTCCAAAACCCTACGTTTACTAAGTTTAGCAGTAGTAGGGAGAGTCGTCCTTTGTGATTACAATCAAGCACAAGATAGAGTTAGACTAAAGAAGTACAATGAAAAGTGGAAAAGAGAACCTCTCGTCAAGGAGTGGTGGAGATCCTCCACTCGACGCCTTCGAAGTGCTCGTCGATTGCTTCCACTAAGGTGTCCATAATACGCTCCAAGTAGTCCTCGATGGTATGATCAATCCTTGGATTCTCGTCGAAGAAGGTTGATCGTAGAATATCGGTGAAACTGTCCTTGTCCCAAGTTAAGCTGTATTCAGTTGCGGGATCCGCCATTCATGGATGCTAGGTAACAAATCTTCTTTCGCCTTGCTAGGGTCCTTAAATGTTGACGAAGAGAAAGAGGTTTCTCTGGCAAGAGGAGAGGAAATAATTCCCAAATCTCTTCTCCAAAAATCTGAGAACAGTCTTAAATTTTGACCAAAAATCTGAGAGGAATTTCAGATTTCCTATGTTAGGAGATAGGGAATTTAGAGGGAGAAGTATAGCTTCAATTCAAGTGGGGATGAATGAGGGAGAGGGAAGATTGGAGAGAGAAAGAGGGAGGGTAAGGGAGGCTAGGCTGGCGGCAATGAAGAGGAGGTAGGGAATTTCTTTCCAAAACGTGAGACTTGATTTTAGAAAGAAATAAGGAGGTTTGTGGGAGTTTGAAATTTCGGCCAAAGGGGAATAACGAGGATTTGTATTATTTCCAAAGGAGTTTTGGAAATAATTCCAAAGGGGATCTTAATAGGGCCGGAGGCATGCATGGGCAAGGGAGGAATTTAATGCAAGCAATTAAGGTTTCTTAATTTAGGGTTTGATTTATGAAAGAGTTATTTTAAATCCAATTGTATTTGAATTTCAAATTAGATCCAAAATAAATACTTTCCTAAAATAGATGAATTATTTTAGGAAAGATTTTGAATTCAAATTCAAAGGGAATTGAAATTCAAAATTATCCCAAATTAACTCACATCCAATTAGGAAACTCAAGAGGGCAAAGGGGCAATGGAGGGAGGAGATGGAATGGAGCCGGCCGATGGCTAGGGGATTGGGGCCGGCGGCCTTGGGGCTCGGGTGGTGGATGGGGCCGTGGGATTGAGAGGGGATGAGGGGCTCGGGTGAGGAAAAGGGTTGGCCGACGGTGGAGGTAAGGGGAAGGGAGGGAAAAGGGAGGAGAACCAAGAGCCACCGGTGGTGACTGTTGGGTACGACGGGTGGCCTATCCTAGGCTCCACCAAGCTCTCACATAAGCTTCAAGAACATAAGTGTAGGAAAATTTTAATAATCATTCATCATCCTTCAATCATAAGACATGAGGCTATAAATAACCAAGTATAAGGACTCAAGAAAATAAAAGACAAACTTGCCCTTTGGACTTACATGCGACAATTCTCACTCAAAGGGTACAACTGAAAAAATAATAAAAACAAATACACGACACAAGAAAATAGAAAATACATGAATAGGAAAATAACATAAATAACTCAGAAATATAAAGGCTCGATCGTGGCCGTAGATCGGCGGCCACGCCTCTGATAAACCTTCCACGAGCTAATGTCCCCATCATTGCTACCTGAAATTGAGGCGTAGTCACGGTTCTTTGAAGGACTATAGTTGAAGCTCATCATAAAGCCTTAGAAGTAGAGAGTTGATTGTATCTTTCCTCTAGGAGTAATGTCAGTCAATCTATCACATACAGGATAGGTCCTTGTGGGTCTATTAAGTCAAACATTGTTTGCCCTCTAGTTTAGTCTATTTCTACACCTTCTAGAAAACTTAATACTAAAAATGATCATTTCATTGTCACACAAACTATTGAGATTGTCTATTATAGATGTCAAGGAAAAGGTTATATAACAATTTTTATGTCCCAATCAAAATGTCTTTTCCTATATGCTCTATTATATATTCTTAAAAATGAATTTAAATAAAAAAAAATTATTTGAATTTGAAATAAAAAATGAATATGAATTTGAAACAAAAAATGATTATGAAGTTGAAGCAAAAATATAAATTTATGATTTTTTAGGTAGAGATAGACCTAAAAAGACTTGGTTAGAAAATATTAGAAATGATCTTTATTTATTAGATTTAAATGAGAATTTGACTTTTAATAGGACAAATGACGAAAAAGGATTCATGTAGCCGACCCTACATAGTGGGACAAAGGCTTGATGTTGTTGTTGTGGTGTTGAGCATTTGCATGAATTAAATATTAGTTTTTAAATGCTTTTCTTAACATGATAAAAGGTATATCATTGTCATGCAAACTCATTATGATACTAAAATTTTTGTCATATATAATTATGATTTAGTTTGTCTCATATGCATTTGTTGTCTTTACCTAATTGTTTCCTTAAAGCTTATTTCATTGGTAGCCAACAAAGATCTAGCAGTTTATATATAAATCGCCTTTTAACATTAGCAATCATCATCTTTTTAATGATGCAATTCTATTATGAAGTTAAGGCACCTTTGTGTCATAAAGCATGAAAGCTTAAAAAACTTTCCATGGTTATGTCGGACATATTCTAGATATGGTTTCCTATGGCATGCCCCAAACTTTTTTTTTTGACATGCTAAAAATTATGTTTGATGTATTTTATTTTAAAATTAAGGCCGGTCATGACCAAGACATACCTAAACATGATAGGGATGTGGCACATATGGGAAACATGAAAAATTGCTCCTGGTTTAGCAAATTTTGTTACAAGTTGGATTGTTGATGGGTCTACTAGTTCCAATTTTGTTGAGTCTAATTAGTTATACATTAATGTGTTCATATTTTGAGTAATTATTTTGAAGATTATATACTTTTTTTAAGTTATTGATATTTTGTGTAGAGAATACTTTGCTAAAGTCATGCTTAATAATTAATGCTATTGTTGGTGTGTTGTTGAAGATTAAGTGCATCTAATAAAATAATAAATGTAATTGCAATTAAACCAATGTTAAATTTTATTTTATTGATCTGTAAGTTGTTTATATGATAAATGTGATATTTTACATTATGGCATAATATTTTTTGATAAAAAATATTGATATTAAGTGTTTTATTTATGTATTTTGTATTAATAATCTATAAAGAATATTATATTGATGGTTTATTGTGTTCTACTTTTTACGGTTATATCATATGTGCATGTTCATGTTGTTATCATGTTTTGTTTCGGTTTCCATACTTCGTAACCTTCAAGCTTTCAGTACTTGTTATTGCTTCTATTGGTGGAGTTTATGCAAGTTAGTTAGGCCTCGTTTGGAACCGCTTAATTTTGCCTTTTCCGTCTCAATAAGACGGAACAATTATTTTTCAATTGTTGTTTGAATGTGACATTTTGTTAAAATGCTTTTTACAAAACTGTGCTTTTTTATTGTTTTTAAAAGCTTTTTGGCATGTGATTCTCCATTACAAACCTCCATTTTCTCAACCAATATTTTTAAAACTACCATTTACAAAAGTACCGGGTAACCAAACGAAACCTTAATGTGTCTGTTTTTGCAACCGAACTTCTATTGGTGGTATTTGGAAATGCGTTCTAAGAAGATGAAGATAGTGATCTTTGAGAACTCTAAGCATTTTCCAATGGATGTGATGTCATTTTGAAGAGATTACATCGCTCTTACTCTTTAGAAGAGAGTTCTTGCTCACGGGAATTGATGCAATCCATCATATGTTGTCTGATTTATGATTATATGATTTTATTTATTTATTTACATTTTAAATTTATCAGGAATTATTATTTTCTTACTTCAATAATAATTATCCTGTAATAAACCATAAGGGCTGTTTGCACTTCAAGTTATCAGACTATTTTTATAACAAGCTCTTTATTCTTTTGTAAAAATCATGCTATGATGAGTTTGAGGAAAAATTAATGCAGCATTGTTTTAGGCTTCCTAACTTTTTTACATTGAGGATTCAGTAGTTTAGCTGCTTCGAGGATTCAAATTTCACAACTTGCGGATTCCTTATTTTCACATCTTTTCATTTTGTTTCTTCAACTTTCTGTTGATTCTACAATTTTGCTGCATATCCTTTGTCATAGGCTATCCAGAATATCTCTTTACTGTTTATTTATTTATTTTTTAATTTCGTTACTTTCTGAGGAATTATTTACCATATGTCGTTCAAATGATCAATGCATTTTCTGAATAGTATGCTCGAATATCCAGTTAAGCTATTTTTTGTGCTTACAAGGAACATCTGTTATGATCCGAGCTAGCAGGTTCAATTTATACAATCTTTGTAAGGATACTGATCTATTTCAATGCTTCACATGTCTATTTCTTTGTGCAGGGAAGAGCACCTTACTTAACCATCTCTTTCGGACCAACTTTAGGGAGATGGATGCCCTTAGAGGAAGGTAAACTTGGCCTACTTTTAATTTTAACTCTTTTCATGGTTCATCAATACTCACACTTGTTCATGTTGTTATGGTTGTTTGCATGTCAAAAATTTCCCAGGGTCCAAACTACCAAAGGCATTTGGATAGCAAAGTGTCTTGACATTGAGCCTTGTACAATTGTCATTGATTTAGAGGGAACGGATGGGAGAGAAAGAGGAGAGGTTACTGACCTAAACTAATATTGTCTTTCTTTTCCTAAAAGTCTTATTTTCCAGTGCACGTAATATTAATTTCTCTATGGTGTTTTTTTTTTTCTGCTGTTTTTTTTTTTCGTTGCTATATTTATACAACAAAAACAACAAACTTTTAGGAGGCAGTGGAGGAGACTTTTACAACATGACAACTACTTTCCTGGCACCTAGGGTGCACATCGTACAAATTAAAAGGGAGACGTCAAAGGAGGGCAGTTCGTGAGTTGGACTAAGAGGAGATTTCAAGAGGCTGATTGAGACTGAATTATAAGACAAGAGAGCAAAAGGGCTATGTTTCAGATGCGATGAGAAATTTACACCAGGACATGGGTGTAAAAATCACACATTGTAGGTTCTCATTGTGTGTGATGGAGAAAAGGTGGATGAAGAAGAGTAGTTGAAGGAGGAAGAAGAGGAAGAGGAGGGTTTTGAGTGATGATGGAGGTGGCGGAATTTTCATTGAACTAAGTTGTGAGATTCACCCCGAATCATACTATGAAGGTAAGGGGGCATATAGGAGGGGTAGTGGCGGTCCTGGTGGATAGTGGGGCTACCCGTAACTTCATATCAAACCAGGTGATAGATAAACTAAGGTTGAAATTGGTAGACACGAGAGGGTTTGGAGTGATGATGAGTATAGAAAAAGTAGAGAGGAACAAAGAGATTTGTCAGGGTTTTATGGTAGAGCTGCATGGGATCTACATTAGGGAAGAATTCTTTCCATTAGAGTTAGGAAGTATTGACTTGATCTTGGGCATAAAATGGCTACAGACTTTGGGGAGACCAATCTGAATTGGAAGACTTTGGATATGGAGATTTAGATGGAGGGGAGAAGGGTGGTAATTAAGGGAGACCCCAGCCTATTAAAGGCAATGGTTTTGTTGAAAACCATGGTTTGTGCCCTTCAAGGGGAAGGAGGGGGATTCTTGGTGGAGCTCTAGAATCTGGAGGGAGGAGAGACAGAGGGTGAAGAGGATATTCCCAACATTATCTAAGCAATTTAGGGAGGTATTCCTGCTTCCCTAAGGATTTCCATCCCCACGGGAGCATGAGCACTATTATTCTGTTGGAGGGAGTTTCCATCATTAGTGTTCGACCCTATCGATACCCCCAGATACATAAGGATGAGATTGAGAAACTGATTTGGGAGATGCTTGAAGCTGAAATCATCAGGCCCATTGTGAGCCCCTTCTCAAGTCCTGTATTGTTGGTGAAGAGAAATGATGTGAGCTGGAGGTTCTGCGTAGACTATCTTGCTTTAAATAAAGAAACAATACCAGATAAGTTTTCCATATCTATTATCGATGAGCTATTAGATGAGTTGCGTGGATCTATGATATTTTTCAAGATTGACTTGAAATTCAGATATCATTAGATTAGAATGCGATCAGGAGACATCCACATGACAACTTTTTGGATGCACGAAGGGCATTATGAGTTTTTGGTGATGCCGTTTGGCCTCACTAACGCAACGACCACCTTCTAGTCCCTGATGTACAGGGTATTCTAGCCCTACTTATGAAGGTTTGTGTTGGTTTTTTTGATGATATAGTAATTTACAGTAGATTTGAAGGGGAGCATTTGGAGCATCTAGGAGTTGTGCTGTCGACCTTAAAGGAGCACTCCTTATATTGCTAATAAGAATAAATGCTTGTTCTTCCAGCCCAGAGTGGAGTACTTGGGGCATGTGATATCTAAGGAGGGATTTACAGCGGACCAAAGTAAGATTGAGGCCATGCTCAGATAGCCCATACCCAAAAATCTGAAGGAATTGAGAGGATTCTAAGGACTCATCGACTACCATCGAAAATTTGTGAAGGGATACAGATCAATAGCAAGGCCATTGACAGAACAACTCAAGAATGATAATTGATAACTTCAGGTGGGGAGAATCGGCTACCCAGGCTTTTGAGGAGTTGAAGGCTATGACCAATGTGCCAGTCTTAAACCTTTCGAATTTTAGCCAGCCTTTTATTGTGGAGACAGATGCCTTGGGTTTTGGGCTAGGAGCGGTACTTATGCAGAACCAAAGGCCAATGACCTATTTCACTCAGGTGTTGATGGCCTAGCCACGCTCAAGTCTGTCTACGGGAGGGAGATGATGGTGACTATGCTGGCTATTAAAAAATGGGGATCGTATCTTCTTGGAAGACATTTCATCATCAGAATGGACCAAAAAAGTTTGAAGTATTTTTTGGAGTAGAGAATGGTCACTGAGGAGCATCAGAGGTGGCTTTCCAAGTTATTGGGTTATGAATTTGAAATATAATACTGACCCAGAGTGAAAAACCAAGCAGCAGATGGGTTATTCAGGCGCATGAGGGAACCCCAAATGATGGCATTATCTGTGCCTTTGGTGGTTGACTGGAAGCAATGAGAAGAGGAAGAGAGAGTGAACAGGATTCATGCTTGAAGAAAATTAGGGAGGAGCTAGTAGGAAACAAGGACAATCATCCAGGATATTCAGTAATGTGACAGAAGTTGCTTTATAAGGGGTGCTTTGTGCTTCCAAAGATCTCTTCTTACATTACTTGCTTACTCCAAGAGTTTCATGATGTAATAGCCCGTATTTTGATATAAAGAAATTTTAAAATCTCTTTTTCTTTAATAATTCGGATAACAGAGAGCCATTACAGAGAATTTAGAGAGATGTATGAGAGAAATAAAATTGAGATTTGGAGACTGATGTGTGATTTTTTGTCTGTCGAGCCTGTTGGGATATTTGCTCGTCTTGGTGTGAAGAACCTTTACCCTATTTTTGATTTTAAAAAATTTATGTTTTTGGTATTTTTTTGATCACGTTTATGTTTCCGTTATTAAAAAATCATGAATAATTTTGTATTGGTAAAATTTTGACCACGTAACGTTTTGTATGTTATAAAGATATTGATTATGAGTATTTTGAGTATTTATTTGAGATTTTTTACCGGGTGATTTTGAAAATACAGTGATTTGTCTACCAAAAAATTTATTTTGACGTCTAAAAATTTGTGTTGTGCAATAAAAATCTTAAAATATTGTTTTATACAATTCATGATATTTTGGTAATTTTTTGAAAATATGTTTTTTTTGCTTAATATGATTATTTGTTGTTTATCATTATGAAATTTTGGGCATTTTCTAAATTAAGCTCAATTATATTTTATTTATTACAATGCGTTGAAAATGAATGTGGATATATGATTAAAATTATTGTTATAGTACTGTATGTGTAAAAGACAAGGAAATACTAATTAAAATTATTGTTATAATACATTAATATTTTGAATTATAGAATATGTTTTGTTGTTTATTGCTAAAAGATGATATTAGATTGTTCTGGTTGATATTTATTAAAATATTAAAAGAATAATTTTTCTAATTTAGATTTTTGGGAATCACACATGGGACGACTATTGGGGGACATGTGGGCGTCCAAAAGACATATCGTCAGCTATCTGCAGAGTTGTATTGGGAGGGTATGAAGAAGGATGTTGAGAAGATGGTGGCTAGTTGTGACATATGCTAGAGGAACAAGTATTTAGCTATGTCTCTACGATAGATCCTCTAGCTGCTAGCTCTGTCAGAAAAGGTGTGGGAGGAGGTGACCATAGATTTCATTGAAGGGTTACCCAAGTCAGAAGGATACACTATGATTATGGTGGTAATGGATCAACTGAATAATTATGCCCATTTTATTCCTCTTTGCCACCCGTATACTGTAGTATCAATAGCGGCGATTTTCATGAGGAAGGTGGTGAGATTATATGGGATCTCGGAATTGATCGTTTTAGATTGACATAAGATCTTTCTAAGCCAGTTCTGAAAGGAGTTGTTCAAGATGCAGGGGACCGCTCTGAAAAGGAGCACTGCTTATCATTATTAGATTGACAAGTAGACAGAGGCGATTAATCAAACTTCAGACTTTACATGTTTATGAGTACAAGTTTGAGGTTTACATCTTTACAATAATGAAAGGAGTACAAACTTCAGACTTTACATGTTTACATTTACATAAGAAAAAGTAAAAAGTACATCATTTCTGATAGGCAACCCAATTTCATTTCCTAAGAGGCTTAATCTTCGAGGAGAATTATCGATTTTAGCTTTGATATTGGTGTGGGCTCCAAATATTCTCGCATGGGCCTCCCCCGTCTTTCGGAACAGTTTTAACGGATTAAGTTTCGAGGTAAACTTTAGGAAGGCAGATTGGGTTTGCAGATAAGATAATAGTTGGTTTGAGAATGAATTCTAGTAATATTCTCGACCGGACATTAGCTATATGTGAGCTGAAATTATTTTAAATTTATTTACCTCGCAAAATTGTTACAGAGGGTGGATGTGTTTTACTCTAAGTGTTTGATAGTTTATTCTAATTTTAAATATTTTAGTTTTTGGAATTTTTGGAGTTTTGAATTTTTGTGTGTATTTGAGTGACATTTAAAAATATAGAGTATTTAGAACTAACCCTTCCGGTTGAGATCTACATTCAACACAATCATCATCGCGGTATATGAGCATTTTTATTTTGTCTGTTGAACCTTATAAACTCTGTCAAATTATTGACAGAGGATCAGGTTCATTATTGATGTTATGATTTTATTAATGAATTTTCATTGTATAGACCTTGAAGGCCTAACATGAACGTATAAAATAAATATTCCGGTCGATGCCGCGACTGTATATTTGTTTAATGGTTCGAGTCATGTCAACTTCTATGTACCCGCATAGAAAGATCAGTCTCAAACTTGGACTTATCTTTTGATCCGCACAATATCCTTAGACGTCACGTGTATATCCATAACACGCTCATCGGGGTCCATGTGAGTATATGATTGCATATACATTTTCTTGGTGTTTATGTGTATATATATGTAGTGCATGTGTGAGGGAATTTTGTAATTTTTGATGCTGCTCAATTGTACGGGTAACTGTCGGTTGAATGCACACGATGCTCTATGTAGAAGCCCATAAGTATTTTCTGTCCGCTT